TATTTCTGCGTAACCATAGCTGCCCCTGAATGCCATCATCAAAAACTACTTTAGGGACAAAAGCTCTTTCTCCCAGTACCAGGTACCAACCTTCTTAAAACTATAATTCCGTTCTTCAAAAATAAAAAGGATTGAGCACTGACCTAGTTACCTATTGCTGCATAATAAATTACCCCAAATCTCAATAGCTTAAAACAACATTTATTATTTCATGGTTTCCGTTGGTTAGAGGACCCAGTTAAACTATTCCCTCTGGCTCCGGGTTACTCTCTAGGCTCAGTCATCTCAAGAGTAGGAGAAAGAACTGATTCTAGGTCACTCATATGGTTGTTCTCAGGATTCAGTTATTAAGAGCTGTTGGACTGAGGCCTCAGCTCCTCACATGTTTGGGGAATGAGGTGCAGCATTGTGTTCTGGCACATGGCACATTGCATGAATGGTGGACTATAAAGTAGGCAAAACTGATCTAGAAAGCTGTATTGTGAAGGACTTCGTGTACCATGATAAAAGTGAATTTGACTTTAACTTTTGAAAAATAGAGAGCCTTAGAAGCATTATAACATGTCCTTGCTTCCAAATAATAATACATAACCTTTATTGAATACCATGGGTTAGACATCATATTTATCTTATTGAATCATCACAGCCATCATATGCAGTATGTTCTATTATTACCTGCATTTAAACAGAACCTTTGTGTCAACTAGTTTTAGCCCCAAGTCGCATAAGACGGAAGAATTAGTCGGAGATGTCAATCATGGTTTGAGAGCAATCGCTCCCTGTCCTTGGTCTATCTCACCCCACTATGCACTCATTTCCACACATTCTTGCTATATTGTATCCTACTTACCTCAGTCTGGAGGCCAAGAAATAAAATTTTTGATCATACATTTTGTGTTAAGTATAGGAAAAGCTTCGGCAATTAGTTTATTTTGTGCCGCAGATATGCCTTTCCCTTTTCATTTTTAATTTTGCAAATTTTCCAACGTACACAAAAGTAGATAGAATAGCAAAAATGAACTTCAACATTAATGAACATTATACCACTTTTGTTTCATCCATCCTCCCTCTACTCTCCAGAAATTTTCTGGAGCTTTTTAAAGGGAATTCTAGACATCATATTATTTTAACCATAGTATTTCACTATATGGGACCAATAAAAATTTAAACATATATAGTCATAACGCCATTATCACACCCAAGAAAATTAATAGTAGTTCTTTAATATCAGATCTTATTTTTAAGAACTTTTTAAAACCAATTGTATATCATATACTGAATAGATAGAATTCTCAATTACGAGTACTTTCTTTTTATAAGCACACACACACGAAAAAATGTTTTCCAATGAGTTCATAGGATTAATCTGTATTCAATAACAGTAACTCTCAGGAACATTTATTGAACAAACATTTTCCTAATTTTTAATAGTTTGTAAATTTGAGTCATATTTTGATGATCAGGGCAGGTTCCATCCACATAGAATTTAGTTACTACAAATTAACACCTAATTCAAGTAAGACCTTTTCTGGGGGCAAAATTAATCTTTCTTTTCTATTTGTACTGATAGGAGATTGATCTCATGTAATCTGCAATACTTTTAGTTGTATAGCTGTCTTCGTTTAAAGCCTAAGACAGAAATCACATTTCTTTTCATGATATATTGATCACATTACTCAGTTTCATGCTTTGAACCCCAAATGAATTCTTATAAAGTACACTTTGAAAAGCTCACCACCTTCTAATTGTATTTCAGTCATACATACCAAGGGTGCGGTGGCCTGGATGTACTTAATATGTACCTGGAAAGAAATTTGTAAATCATTTCAGGCTACTTTCATTTTAGATCTGACAAAACTGTAGCCAAGAGGAAAAGTGCATTTAATTGCAACTGACAATATTGTTATTAACTGACTCATTTTATCTATTTTTATCCATGTTTTAAAAGTTTTTATGAAATTAAAATTATTTTTACAAAACATAGAACTACAGTCTAGTTTCACTATTAGTTCCAATTAGGAAGGGATATTTCAATATACACACGCAGAGAGTACTTTAATTTTCCTCTCCCTTTCAGCAAGAGATGCCTACTACGTTCCTCCATTTTTTTTTGTTGTTGTTGTTAAACAAGTTCACTTTGTAGTCCATGGTTATTTTTGCTACCATTGAAGAGGGTATGAAGTTTTAAATTACTGGCCATGTTTCTCTTTAGAAAAACACACACGTGCCATCTCGCCTTACTGGGTAGCCTGGGCACACGCCGTTCATATTCTAACTTAAGCAAAGTCGGGTCATCTGTTTATTTTCAGTATAGTGGTCTGGAAGAAAAGGCGGCTGTTGCCTAGGCAACCGACACCCCGGGCAACGGAAGGTCGCGGCGAGAGGGGGCGTGGCCTCGGCTGGCTCGGGCCGATAAGAGAAGGTGTCCGCCGCTCGCTTAGGGAACGTGGTCTGTCGGCGCGGCCAGGAGGAGGCGAGGCTCCTCGCTGCCGCCTCCGACTACTTGGGAAGCGCCAGTCGGGCAGGCGAGCGAGGTTGCGAGCCCGCTGCTCACTTTCTCCACACGCCCTGCCGAGGAGCCTCGCTCCACGTCCCAACATGGCGGGCGGGCGCTGCGGCCCGCTGCTGACGGCGCTACTTGCCGCCTGGCTCATTGCGGCGACGTCTGAGGCCGGCCCCGAGCAGGCCGCGCTGCCGGAGGAGCAGAGCCTGGTGCTGCCCATGTCCGCTTCCAACTGGACGCTGGTGATGGAGGGCGAGTGGATGCTGAAATTGTGAGTGTGCCCGCGCGCCCCACATGCCACCCTGTCTTCGTGAGCGCCGCCCTCCCAGAGCCTCACAGGCTGCTCCGGACGCTGCACTACGCGCTAGGCTTGACCTCAGGCCCGGGGCCGGTTCTGCTACCGACCTACGGCGCCGGGCCTGGCCATTCATGGTGCGCATGCGCGCCAGGCCCTCTGCGGTGACAGCTGAAACTGAAGCGCACCTCTTACACTTCTTCGCCTTGCTCTCTCCCTGCTTTAAGGCAAAGTGTTTTAGGGATGGGGTGGATGAGTAACTTA